ATTTTAAAATAAGAAACTAGACACCTTAAGCTTTAATTTGATACCTCACACACTCAATTTTAAAGCTCAGTTTCGAGCACTGTCAAACTAGATTGCCCTGAATTTTTGATATGTTATAATAGACTTGCATATATTCAATTTGGTACAAACCACACTCAATTTGGAGTCCTACAACTAGGGATGTAAATGGGCTAGGCCAGCCTATAGAGGCCTACGGTGTAACACCTCGTCTGCAGCCGGTGTATTAACATACAAATGGTATTTAAAGCGCAACTTGCAATAATTAATCGCAGAAGCAATATACTATTTTATATAATTAAACCAGGCCAATCCTCATAGTGAATTAACTTTTTCTTTTAATAACAATCCTTATGTAATTGTAACACTAAAATAAAATCTGAAATACCTCATACTCATAAATAAGAATTCAAAAGAATCCATAACTCATGGTGCTACAATACAAATACTAAAGTCAACAAATAAATAGATTATTTAATAGTGGCATAGACAACCCCTATGCTCACCACAAATAACAACATAATCCATCAACTATAGTCATAAGAAAGTCTCCTCATAGTAGAATGAATAATCATAATATGCATGACTCATAACAATATTGAAATCTCTATGCTGCCCTCTTGCCTCTATCAGTGTCCGTCTCATGAACGTCATCTCCTGAAAATGTGCCCCAAGAAGGGGTGAGATTTCTAACAGAAATCTCAGTAAGACAAGGAGTTCTCAAGGAATCCTCCACCCCAATCTCACTAACATGTATAATATAAGTTCTAAAATAGTGCAGACAATATATAACGAAGCAGATTAATAACAAGATAAAAAGAATGGCTATATCGGGCCATTTATAGTAGTAAACAATGCAATATATAAAATGAGCATGCCATGCAATTTATCAAATGAGTGTGCAATGTCACATATGTCCATGTCATGTCTGTATGCATCCTACTGGCCAGAGAATAAAATGTAGGCATTACGTACGTCTACAATAAAATGTATGTATGTGGCCCGAAATTCTCAGGAATTACCGTCTCGTGTGGAATACCCGACATACATATACATATGGCAAATGCACTATATCATAATCCAGCTCAACAACATATCCAATACTCATAACATAATAGATATAATTTCCAGAAAACATACCATGCACATAAACCAATCCCCCATGGGGTTTGGTAGAACAAGAAACAGATAAAACCGAAGAACGAAATCTTACCTGTATCGGTAAAGTTCTCTCATACCAACTCAGTATCAACGTGGTCACCAACAGCCAAACAATCCAGCGAGTCACCATATGGTTTAATGCAAACACATCATCAATAATCATATCCTACAATTTCATGTGAAATGAAACATGTTTTCTTTTTTGTTTAGCGTACTGCAGGCTTCTCCTAAAGCCCCCATGCACAAACTGTCTTTACCATTTTTAAAACTTCAGTTTCAACTCTTTAACAAAAATTTTAAGACTCTAATATGTTAAACTAGACATCTCAAGCTTTTCAACGACATATTTTATGTCTCATTTGGAGTTGTATAACTCTGGTTATGTTTTTCGCAATGTGACTGCTACAAATTGAATTTCCAACAACCAAGATGGACTTAAAACTGACACTACGGTCAAACCACTTATCCAATGGCTACAAAATTTTAAAGAGTTGTAGCCCTATGTCTTAGCTTCACATATGTCTAAATGTCACTCTATTTGGAGCTTTGAAGCTCCAGATATCGAATTTTTACTAAAACAGGTTCATTGTTTTCTACATATCCGGATATCATATCTGGATATGCCATATCTGGATATCATATCCGGATATTTCGTGACAATGGCCAAAAATAGCAGCCCAGCACAAAAATATCCATTAAAATACCATCTTTCATGTAGATACATCTATCCCATCAACTTAGCATGCATTTTAACACTTAGATTCATCAACCAACGTTCAAGTTATCAAAACTCATAATTTTACATCTGCAAATATGTTATTTTCATAAAAACACTAAGGGAAGTGTTGAGGAATATACCCATGAGCTTCAAAACAGAAAAAAGAAGGGACTTCATGGTCTACAACCCACTTTCCACTGCTGCCAAAACAAGTGCACGAAAATGGCTTGTCAAAGGAATGTTCTTTCTTCTTAAAGGTGACTCCTTGGCGCTCCAATGGTGGTGTAAAGGCCTCCAACTCACTCAATAAAGAACAATAGTTCTCTAACCTTACAAGGCAGCAGCTTAAACCTTTCAAGAATGGGTTTTATCCTACAAGTTTCTTGCTTCCAAGTGTTTGGGATGATCAAAGTGAAAGGAGATGAACAAAGGTGAAATCTTGCTTGGTTTCCATGGAGGAACTTAAGCTTATTTGGACAGGAAGAGAAGAGTCACTCATCAGACATGCACACTAAAGGGAGGCAGTTAGCATGTGTTAGGATCACTCTAGGGTTTTGTGTCATTAACTATATATAGATGCACACATTTAAACTAACAATATTAGTTTAATTAGTTTTGCTCTTTGTTTAACTCTAATGTTTTAGATCCTTGACCTAGACATTTTTCTAGGAATTATCATATTTTTACATTAATTTTCCAAAACACTTCACCGATACGCATTTTATGCAGCAAAATAGCCAGTATTAGTTCTGATATCACTGCTTATTATTTTCACCTCAAACTTGATATTCTTAACCTAGATATTTCTATAGGAATATTCATATTTTTATTTCTATTTGTTGAGTTACTTTGCCGATATCATTTATACCGTGAAATACCCGGTGTTTGCACTTTCTTTCTGAAAAGTAACTTAATATTAATTATCATACTCTTTCCATATTTATCCAAAGCTAATTATGGAAATATTTCTTAAATCATATTTAACTCATTAATTTTCTAATTTAGCGGTGCGAGTTCTTACATATGGCCTAGCCTATATTAGGGCAGGCTTGGCCTATTACAAATAGTAAAATAGAACAGGCTTAGGCCTTTAAAAACACCTATTTAGAAAATAGGTCATAGGATTTTTTTGTACATATCAGGCCTATAAGCCTACAGGCCAGCCTATATCATATTATTTATTTTAAATAAAATAAATAAAATAATGATTTTAATAATTTTGAATAATAGAGTAATATTATTTTAGTTATTCTTTTAATTGTTGAATGTTTAATAGGCTTAAACAAGCTAATAGGTCTAGGCCAAGAATTTTATTTTTTAAATATAAGTCAGGCCAGACTTGTAATTCAGAGCCTACACAGGCTAATAGGCCAGACTAGCCCCTATGGTTTTTATATAGGTCTGACGTATTTAAGGGTGTGCATGACAACCTTCCCGGAATCAATTCTTTTTTAATTTCTGTTCCTAGGAACAGAAATGGATAGAAAACTCGTTTGGTAAAACCAGTTTATTATTTTTGTTCTCGGGATGAACCGATTTAATTTTTGTGCTGGGGAACAGAAAAAAGAATAAAAAAATTTCTGTTTTTTTGTTCCCGGAAATAAAATGAGAAACATTTGTCTCTCTCAATCACTATCCACCTCTACCATCATCACCACCACCACCATCATCCCGAACACGACTGCCGCCACTATCTTCGCCGCCGCCATCGTACCACTAGTGCCGTCGTCACCACCCCTCACCATCACGATGTCATCGCCACCATTACCACCACTCCACCCATCACTACCACCATGCCACCGTCACCACCACCACAACTACCACCGCCGCAACCACCACCACCACTATCACCGTCACCGTCACCACCACTATCACCACTACCGCTATCAACCACCACCACCATCATCGCAACCACTGCCGTCACCGCCATCATCGTCATCACACGCCACCGCCACCACCCCCATCGCCATCACTACCACCACCACGATGCCACCACTACCATCACCACCACTGTCACCAACCACCACTATCATTGCCGCAGCCACTACCGTCACCACCACCGTCATCGTCGCCACCAACCACCACCACCATCGTCACAACCATTACCGTCACCACCACCACCATCGCCACCATTACACCACCCCCCGCCACTACCATCACCATGCCATCGCCACCACTACCGTCACGTACCACCAACGTCACTGCCACAGCCAATGCCACCACCACTGCCATAATGCCTTCACAACCACCACCACCATGCCACTGCTACCATTGTTGCCGCCACCCACCACCATTGTCGCAGCCATTGTTGTCAACTCCACCACCACCATCCCCACCACTACCACCGCCGCCACCACTATTACCACCGCCATTGTCGCAGCCACTGCCGTCACAACTACCACCATTATCTTCACCTCGTCACTGCCACTACCACTACCGTACCGCCGCCGCCACCACCACTACAACCACACCATATGGAAAGAAAAATGATGATCCAATTTTTTTTATATTTAATAGGAATTATTTTTTATTATATTATTTGTTGTGTTATCAAACACAATTCTCATTCTCGGAATAAAAATAGAACATGTTATCAAACACATTTTTTTTCTCAGAAACTGTTCCAAGGCACAGAAATAGAAAAGAATTATTTCTTTTCAGAAACAATGCTAGGGAATATAATGGTTGTCATGCAAACCCTTAAGCCAAAGCCTAACCTAGCCTATTTACACCCCTACCTACAACTCCAGTTATGAATTTTACAAAACAGATGCCAGATGTAACATCCCTGTGTCGAGCCGGTTCAATTAACATACATATGATCCAAACAGAAACAGCGAAAAACTTAACTTTCGAAAATACGAGCTAAATTTTTCTTTTACTTCTAATTATTCTTAATTCACATGATATCTCACATTGCATACTTCTCCTAATTTAATTCGTATTTGACGAAGACGAAAATCGGGCAGAGTAACCTCTGTAAATTGGACAACTGGGGATTTGCCAATCCCACTCTCAAAGGTTCCTGATAAATAGTTTATACCATATATAATTTCAGAAATCCCAGATATCTATAAAGGACTATATACCCATCCATGGGTGCATGCATAACTGGCTCCGTGCCACTATGTCTAACAACATACATATTTCAGTACATGCACATATCTGAATACACAAATGTGCATGCATCAAATATGAACACATATACAAAACATATACGAACCATATATTGTATAATGGATCAAACATCATGATCCCAAAATGAATAGAACACTATATAACAGTACATATTCTCCAAAAATAACATCTATAATAAATAGTAGCATCCGGCCACCCAGAACTCCATATCCTCATACTAGTACCTCTAGCCACGGGTAGTGTCCTTGTCCCATGAAGGCTCTTCAATTAACTGTGTTCCTGAAATCATATCCCCAAACGGGGTTAGAGACGAATCTCTAGTAAGCTCCAGGTTTATGAAAAACTCTCCATACCCTGGGCTCACTTCCTGCATGACAGTCAGATACATAATATACAAAACATCATATAAGCAAATATCATAGCTGAACAAGCATATACACATATCTTATCAAAGATGCACACAGTATTTTCCAAGGGAGAACCCCAAGCAGAAATCAACGCACGTAACAAATATCATAACTAAACTGAGCATATATACATATCTTATCAGAGATGCACGTAGTATTTTGAAAGGGAGGACCTCAAGCAGAAATCAACGCACATAATTTCATTTATGAAAATCAACACAATAATCACATCAGAACAAAACATATCTTATCAGAGACGTACGCAGTCATTCCCAAGGGATTACTGATAACTCTCACAAATGAGAGTTAATTTGTTATTTTTATGATGAATTTGCTGCATAAATTCTATATAAGTTGACCTCTTTCCATGATAATTGAGCTAATTATTGTATATTTATGATTGAATGCTTTGAGATGACTAAGTATGAAAAATTAGACAATATTCCTTGATTTTGTGTAAGAAAAGATGACTTGTTAAGTGTTTGTCTTTGCAGGAAAAATTGACGTAGGAATGCTGCAGCAGAGAAGCTGACGAAGTAATGATATAGCAAGCGCTACAGCATGACAGAGTGGACAAAGGGACAACCGAACTTTTGAAATTCAAAAGTTAGTTATTCTCAAACAATACACCATCAAGCAATGGACGTTTCTGAAGATTTAATCTTATCCCAAATTCACAATGATCAAGGACGATATTCAAAGAGTGAATCTTATCCCAAGATCCCAAGGAACAAGGACAACAAACTCATATTCGGTCAACAACAATATTGGCACAAGAAATCCAAGAAGATCAAGATCTTATCCAAGCAAGTGCCAACAACCCAAGAATCTAGGGATACGATAAGACTGCAGCAACAAGAATCATGGATTTTCACTCTTAAACCTAAAGTCCAATATTCCAACCATTTTCCCTATTTAAAGTAGAGTTCCCCCACGAATTAAAGCACAATTTTTAGGAGAGTTTAGAGAGATTCAAGGTTCGAGAAGTCAGAAGCAAGTGAGAACGTTTTAGAGAGAGAAAGTAAGGTTCTTGGAGGAGGAAGAGCTGCTGGAGCAAGGCAGTGACGACGTTTTCCTACAACATTCGTTTTCATCTTCTTTTCTGTTTTCCAATGAATTCTTTCTTCCTTTTCTCTGTTTTATTTAATTCCATCATGAGCTAAATTGCTCTTTAGGTTAGGTAATAAAGTATCTATGCTGTAACATTGAGATGTATGCCTAAACTTTGTTTATGTTCATGTTTAACTAGTTATTCAATGAGTTTGCTTAATCTTATTCATGTGTGCATGTCGAGAGATACATATGTGATATTGAGGAGGTTAGGACCGAGAGGTTTCTGAATCCAGACCCTTGTTGAATTGTGTGGATTAATTAGGTTAAAGTTAACTTGATTAAGTTGTGGGTAGAGAGATCATCCACACCACATAGCCTTGAACTTGAACTTGAATAATTCAGTGATTAGTTGGGCCATAGAGATGTGGGAATTAGTTATTGGGTATATATGTTAGGTTGGCCAAAAGCCCCAACATTCGGTTACTAGTTAAACATTGATATAACATTGTTAAAGCATCATTTCAGTATTGCTGTATCACGGAAATTGAACCTGACCTATATCTCATCCATCATCTTAATACCTATTATTTTAGTTTACTGTTTTCTTATTATTAATTATCTTTTATTTTATAAATCCAATCATCAAAATCAATCTTTTACCTACTTTCTTTACTTAATTAATCACTACTTAAACTTATCTCTGTGGGAACGATACTTGGACTCACATTCCTTTATTACTTGTGACACGTGCACTTGCGTATTTGTGTGGAAGATTTAATTGATTAAAAATTTCACAACAATGACCCCAAGCGGGAATCAACGTACGTAACCAATATCATATACAAAATCATCACAATAATCACATCAGAACAAAACATATCTTATCAGAGACGTACGCAGTCATCCCCAAGGGATGACCCCAAGCAGAAATCAACGTACGTAACAAATATCATATACAAAATCATCACAATAATCACATTAGAACAAAACATATCTTATCAGAGACGTACGCAGTCATTCCCAAGGGATGATCCCAAGCGGAAATCAACGTACGTGATCCCAAGGGAGGACCCAAAGCGGAACCAGAACATATCAGAGGTGTACACCATCAGTCCCGAAGGATGACCCCAAGCAGACATTAGTGCACATAGGATCAATGGCCAGAGATCATCACATAACAGAGGTGTACACAGTCAATCCCAAGGGAGGACCCCAAGCTGAAATCAGTGCACATGTTCCCAAGGGAGAACCCCAAGCGGAACTCAACATATAACAGATATATACACAGTCAGTCCCAAGGGAGGACCCCAAGTGGACATCAGTGCATATAGAATCAATGGTCAGAGATCATTACAGAAATCACATAAAAACATATCAAAGTAAACACATCAAAACATATCAAAGTAAACACATCAAAACATATCAAATTAAACACATCAAAACATATCAAATTAAACACATCAAAACATATCATATCACATCATCATATAGTTCTATATGAATGCATCTATATCATATATCTCATACATATCATACAACCTGACCACAGTCCGTACACTATGGCGGAACACAAAGTAGGAGCGAATCCCATAAACATAGAGCTTACCTCTTGGAGCTTTACAATCTGCTTACTTGAAGAACAAGCTACTTATCTTGCTCCACGAGAATCCAAACGTTCACAGTCCCTAGGCACACCTAGAGAAGGAATTCAACACAAAACTTAATAAAATGATATAATGCCATGTAAATATACAAGACACACACTTTATTGTTTATTTTCTTTTTACTTAATCATATTAAGTCATGAGTGGGTGGTTCTTTGTTCAACAAATCCCCACAAAATTCCACATATTCACTTAGTCTTAGGATAGTCCCAAAAGGCCTTTAGAACACTCATTACTCCTCTTAGCACCTGAAAGCCTATTTTTTCCAATTTAAGGCAGAATGCCCATTAGAAATGAGCTATAAGATTTCTCTTTGTCTAGTGCCTAAACCCAAGCTTAGCCAACTATATAAATTATTTTACGCACATAAGTGTTCTCACTTTGCGAAACAATATCTCCGAACATATACCTCCTTTGAAAATGGCCAAAACTCATTTTAAGGCCATACAAAGGAGCTACCTTATTTTCTTTTTTTATTTCACCAAAGTGAAGGTCCATACACCTTAGAATATTATTCCACCCATAAAAGTATGCTCGCTTTGTAAAATAGTAACTCATACCACATACTTCCTTTGAAAATGGCTAAGAGGCACATAAAGGAAATCATGCCAACATCATGATTCCAATGCTTTAGTCCATCAAATTCAAGCTTATCACACACCTCTAATCAAAGATTAATTAATTCATATATATACGGTACTGTTTATCTCTACAGTACCATTCATGTATACGTCACTATTCACGTATACAAAACTATTCAAAAATACGGTATCTTTAATTTTCCAAATACATTTTCACCGTTAAGATTCTCATCCAAACACCTTTCTCAACATGAGCTAAACCTGAATCAAGCTCTAATATGCTCAATCAAACTAAATTTTCAAAATGAAAACCTAAATTCAATCTTCTTAAAAACATGAAAGGGAAGGGAATATCTTACCACAATGCACTCTAGAACAAATGAGAGATGAGTTTCTAAGTTCCAATGGCCTCAAGCTCCATCAAAATCTATCTTTTCCATGAAATTTGAAATCTTTGGCGAAGAAGATCTCTCTCTACAGTGAACCCCACCCAGAAATACTGGTACCAATGGATTCCCCTCGAAATTTCTCACAGTTTGGCTTTGGAACGAAGTGATTTGGAGGTCTTTAGCTCAAGTTATAAGCATTGGAAGATTTGATTGTAAAACCTCCATTTTCTTTTCTCCTTCGCTGTGTCGTCCGCGGGATTTGAAGAAAGAAAGATGAATAGTATATCACTTGAGTTACTTAAATGAGTTCACTACACCAGCGGGTATAAACTTATCTATTTATACACTTTCATTCATTACCAAACTTTATCCACTCGACTAGAATATTTTTCTAGTCATATTTCTAACTTTACTTTCACTTTTTGGGTAACTTTGCTTATCCGTATTTTTACCCCTTGACTGTCATTTTAAGTCATTTTTCACCAAATGTGACTTTATTTCTTTTTCTTTATAATTATCCTTCAATATTAAATCCATAATAAATGTGAGGGTCATTATGCTAGAGTTGCCTCTGTTAGGGTTTATCACTTTTCTAACCAATTCAATCATGTTCCATTGACCTAAAAATGGCTATAACTTATTGAACCAACCTTGTCCTTTTCTTCATGATGTTCTCAGTTCTATGAGAAGAAAAGGATTTACTCCACAAGGCTGCCGATCTATACTATAAATATCTCAAGTTATATGACTTAATTTGTTTAATAACTTTTAATCTTTATATATATATATATATATATATATATATATATATATATATATATATATGGCTTATCATTTCTGCAATAGCCGTAGACAGTGTTATCTGCAGCTGACACAGAAAAGTGGGCAGCTTTTCTTAAAAAAAAAAAAACCAGGATCCGGTGCCGTATCCTGACTTGCTGTAGATGCAGCTACTACAGAAATTATTTTGCCATATATATATATATATATATTTCTATTGCAAGGGGCAAAGGTACGAAGCATTTACAAACATCAAGATTCAAGCAATAGCCTGTGATCAAAAAAATGGTAACAAATATTGGTTCTTACACTGTTATCCCAAATCAGCCAACTCCAAAGGGTCGTTTATGGCTGTCTGATAGTGATCTTGCCGAGCATAGTCCAGCATATACTCCCTCTATCTACGTTTACAAACCAAAACACAATCACCACGATGTCATCGAGAGGATGAGAACCTCTCTCAGTGATATTTTAGTGTATTACTATCCAGTTGCTGGCAGATTGTGCTGGATTGATGAATGTGGTAGAATGGAAGTGGATTGTAATGCAAAGGGAGTTACATTGCTTGAAGCTGAAACCACTAAAACATTGAATGAATATGGAGATTTTTCACCTACTCAGCCCATCAAGGACCTTATTCCAACCATTGATTATACTCAACCTATTGAGGAGCTTCCCCTGTTTCTAGTGCAACTCACAAGATTCCATGGTGACCAAAGCCTTGCCATTGGTGTTGCTATCTCTCATCTTTTGTGTGATGGGATTGGTGCTATTCAATTCATAAACTCATGGGCAAAGCTGGCTCGAGGAGATACATTAGCACCACATGAAATGCCAATTCTAGATCGAACAATACTCAAATTCCCACTCTCACCATTAGCACCACGCTTTGATCACCCTGAGTTGAAGCCTCCCCCATTCATACTAGGAACCTTTGATTGCATTACTGAGCAAAAGACAACAGCTGCATCATTGAAACTGACATCAGAGGAAGTTGAGAAGCTGAAGAAGAAGGCCAATGATCAATCCCAGAAAGATGGGTCAAGACCATATACCAGATATGAAGCTATTGCTGCACATATATGGAGATGTGCATCTAAGGCTCGTGAACTTGATGACAATCAACCAACTTTGGCTCGAATCATTGCTGATATTCGCAGTAGACTAAATCCACCTCTGCCTCATAATTACTTCGGGAATGCTCTGGCTCGAACAGTGACACCAACATGTTATATAGGAGAAATCATATCAAACCCATTGAGTTATGCTGCTAAGAAGATAAGGGAAGCACTTGACTTGCTTACAAATGAATACGTAAGGTCACAGCAAGATGTTATTTTCGGTCAGGAGCAACTCGATTCCTTAAGGGGTTTCTTCTTCCGACAAGGAGTACGTCGGACTGCCCCATATTATGGGAATCCTAACATTTTCATCGTAAGTTGGATGAGCATGTCCGTGTACGAAGCAGATTTTGGGTGGGGAAAGCCTGTGTATTTTGGTGAAGGATTTGTGTCTCCATATGATACGGCAAGGATTGTTCAAAGCCCAGAGGGGGATGGATCTGTTATTGTGTCTATGCACTTCCAGATAGAACATATACAACTTTTCAAGAAATTCTTCTACGAGGATATATGAGGTACTATTCACAAGGAAACTGTCTTCAGCTTCTTATGTTCAAGTTTTACATGTTATCTGCAATTTCCTTTGTTCAATAAATCTACTTAACCATGTAGAAAATTAAAAGACTGAATTTGATTGATTTTACTTTTACTAGTTATTTTGATTATGCATTCATTGGTCTAGTTCTTTAACAATCTTATCCTGTAATGCTTGCCTCTACATTCAATGACAGAGCCTTCCATGATTTGTGGAATATTTGGGAAGGAAGACTGAGGAAATTTTTTTTTTTTTTAATTGGGATGATATTGTTGTTGTTGTTGCTTTTCTTTTATCCACAAAGAGAATGGAGGAAGCCATTATTTGTGTATTTAGAAATACAGTTGTACGTAACCACTTGGAAGGTGAGAGAGAGAGATAATAATTTATGTGTGGAGAATTACATGAGGCATCATTGTCCCATTTATTATTTGCACTTTTTTAACTCGATCTCTTGACTATATTATTTCCTTCAATAAAAAGTCTGAACATTTTGCAAAATCATTTTGCAAGATCGGAGCTCGGGGAGGATACTTAGCGTCGTATCTGAGTTCAACGACCTTTATCAGTTTTCCACTTTACTCCTGTTGTGGATTCTCCGCTTACTATCCATGCTTAGTTGGGTCATCCGAGTCTTGCTAAACTCCAGAAGATGGTCCCACATTTCTCTACTTATCTAGTTTATCTTGTGAGTCATGTCAGTTAGGGAAGCACACTCATAGTTCGTTTCCTGATCGTGTCAGTCGTCAGCCTTCGTCTCCTTTAGCTTTAGTTCATTCAGATGTTTGGGGTCCTAGTCGTACCATTTCCACTATTGGGTACAAATATTTTGTAACTTTTATAAATGATTATTCTCGATGTACTTGGTTATTTTTAATAAAAAATCGATCTGAATTGTTTTTCATCTTTCACCAGTTCTTTAATGAGAACCTTACTCAATTTGGTGTTTCCATTCGCATTTTTTGAAGTGATAATGCCCGTGAATATTTATCTCATCAATTTCAAACCTTATTTGCATCTCACAACATCCTTCACCAGACATCATGTTCACACACCCCTCAACAAAATGGGGATGTTGAATGCAAGAACCGTCACTTTATTGAAACTACTTCGACCCTTTTACTGCATGGTCATGTCCCCTTCCAGTATTGGGGAGATGTCCTCACAGCTTATTATCTCATTAATCGCATACCCTCCTCCATACTTGATAACCATGTACCAGATTCAATGTTATTTCCCCATCCACCGTTGTATCCATTGACTCCTCACATCTTTGGTTCTATTTGTTTTGTCCATAATCTCTCAGTCCTAGTCTTAACAAGTTATGTGCTAAGTAACATAAATGTATCTTCCTTGATTACCCTTGGTCACAAAAGGGTTATCATTGTTACTCTCCCAGTCTTCGTGATTACTTTGTCTCGGCGGATGTTACCTTTTTTGAGTCTATTCTATTCTTTGGATCCGCCTCCTTCCCAAGTGACTCATATGATATTCAACTACCTTTACCCTCTGTTTCAGTTCAATATATCCCTTCACCATCGCCTCCTTTGGTTACGTCTCTAGATGTCCCAGCCCCAATCCCCCACTCAAGGTTTATGATCGTCGGCCACATCCACCCATGCCCCAAGCCCCTGCCACTATTATTAATGAGGCTCTTGTGGACTCACTTCCATAGTCATCCCCTCCGACAGCTCTGGTCCCTCTTTCTGGCCTTGATCTACCCATTGCTCTCTGGAAAGGTACTCGTGATTTTCGTCCCCTGCCCAGGTATTTAGTAAATCCGAGTTATCATTGTCTTTCTCCATCACATTTTTATTGCCTCTCTTCATTGTCTTATGTATCTGTTCCTAACACCATAAGTGAGGCATTATCTCATTCCAGATGGTGATATGCCATGGTTGATGAGATGTGTGCACTTCAGAGCAGTAATACATGAGATCTGATTCTTCTTCCTTCTTAAATTCTCCTCGTGAAGATCACTGGAATGCAGTGATCCGTATGCTCAAGTACATCAAGACTGCTCCAGGTAAAGGTCTCCTCTATGAAAACAAAGGTCATACCAGAGTTGTGTGATACTCATATGCTGATTGGGCAGGTTCCCCTATTGATAGAAGATCTACCTCTGGGTATTGTGTATTCGTTGGAGATAACTTGATTTCCTGGAGAAGCAAGAAACAAAGTGTAGTTGCTAGATCAAGTGCTGAAGCAGAATATCGATCTATGGCCACAGCCACTTGTGAACTCATCTGGTTAAAATAACTTCTAAAAGAACTCATGTTTGGAGACACTAGCCCAACACCTCTCATTTGTGATAATCAAGCTGCTTTGCATATTGCTTCCAATCCAGTGTTTTATTAAAGGACTAAGAACATTGAGATAGACTATCATTTCGTTAGAGAAAAAATTCTCTCAGGAGATATAATCACTAGTTTTGTCAACTCAAATGATCAACTAGCTAATGTATTCACTAAGTCTTTGAGAGAACCTAGGATAGATCATATATGTAACAAGCTTGGTGCATATGATCTACATGTTCCAGCTTTAGAGGGAGATTGTAAATAGTGTTGTAGAGGTCCCACATTATGTACATGTCTTTATATCTCTCATTTGGTTTGATATATAAATGAAACCTCCTATGTGTAGTTGACACAAAGATTACAATCAATAGCTCTTGGGTCTTGATATTCAACAGAAGACATTGCTGTCATGAAATGAGAGACCACATTTCATTGTGAATGTTACCAAGAGATGATAAAGCGTGACAAGTAATGTTGTCCCAAATGCTCCAAATCCGTGGTTGACATGTGTAGGACATGGAAGATAATAGATGAAGAGAATGAAGCAAATGTCTTGAAATTGGCAGAGAAAGATTTAGATATTCTGCAAATGACACAACCAAAGTTTACGTCCACATTATTGGGTAAACATAGCAGTAATAATATTTTCTTCCTTCTTTGTCCAAACTAGCTTATATTTATTGTGATACCCTCGTACACAATTACACATTAAAACAAGAAACAAAAATACAAAAAACATTGGGTATTGTTTATGGCGGTGCACATGATGCTTCCGACATGTTGAAAGTTGCAGCACAAAAGCAAAAGAAATAGGCACATCACTTTTGTATTTATTCAATAATGGAGATGGAGTGGGTCATAACAAGAAAAAGCGAGGTCCCTCCTCGTATTTTAATTTATTCTTCTCTTGGCCAAAAGGTAAATTTTTTCCCCGAGTAATATGGTGAATTTTTCTGGAGAATATGGTGATTTTTTTTTTTTCAAGTAAGTTACGAAAAGTTGTTTGATAGGCTAAAATTATTTAGAGAAAATTGAGTTAATTTTACTGATGCTATGTTTGGTTGAATGTAAAATATTACTGAGGATGTGAACTAAATTTACAATCTTACCCTTAATTACCCTCAGCTCTCTCTCACACTTAAACTCAGCTGAATCTATGCTTGCATTAAGATAAGCTTAAGGATTACATTCAATATGTCTGTTTATGATTTTATATATAGCTGATTTTGTATTGCCTTATATAAATCTGTGTTCGTTGATTGTTTTGAAAGTTATATTGTTTTAACTTTTGCGATCATGACAGTGTTGTTCAACAGGAAAGGCACACCTGTATTTTGACTGTTGTGTTTGAAGCCAGAATTTTTATCCCTGTTACTGTATTGGCCATTTCTTGTTTGAGAGCAGTTCGTTATTTGTCAAAAAAACTGTTTAAAAGAATGCTGCTATAGTACTATGCCTTGCATAATTGAGATCCAAGGCTTTATCTTATCATGAAATTATATTGTAGCATTAGTCCTGTACCCTTGCTAGAAGTAATTTTAAAGTATGAACAAAGAATTTAATATTTTTATTATTATTACATTGGTATAATATCAATTTACACTTGTATAAGGATAAAAAAACTTATCATACAAGTCATAGTAATCGATCACATAATTACAAAAATGTTGTATTAAGCAAAATAATTCAAGGAAAACCAATTGTGGACCTTTGGGTGAAATGGGTTGCAAAGCATTAGAACAGTGTTTTGTTTTTTTTCGCAAAACCAAATACACGGCCTTGTCCAGTGTAAAAATTACACGGAAATTTGCAATAACAAGAAGAAACGACTGTATAAAGAGACACAGACATGTTCCATGAAAAAATAGTCCGGCAAGTAGCAGTAGCAACTAAGAAAAGAAAGTACCGCAAAGTATGAGTGCTTGAAGACATTGGGTGATATTAAATCACTAGAAGTTTGAACTCATGTAAAGAACAGAAGTGAGTAGATGATCAGAATTATCAGATACAGTGTAATTAGAACAAATCAGAACAGACTTATTTGTAGTCGGTATAAAGAATCAGACAGATGAATGAATGCAGTAGAGGAATTAAATCTGAGCCCACCTTAAGACAATTTGCCCCCTCACTGATGCCAAAGATAGATGGACACTCGTCTCCCAGGATAGAACGGATTTCGTCTGAAGAGTGGCGGCACTACCAGTCAACAGCCCAAACGAACACAACAAAATGCCAGGGGAAATCACACCAGAGTATGAACAGGAATATGCTAACCGGAAGAAAGAAAAATCCTGGCAGAGTTTCAGTGCAGAAAATCGGATAAATTTTTGAGGGTGTCAGTGTCTATTTATAAATACTGACTGGTCACGATGAACCGCCGTCGGGGGCGAACGGGTTCGACCGGTGAAGCAACGTATACATTTTTGGACAAAAAATTAAAAAATAATTTTTATTACACACCTATGAGCCGAGCTGGCCAGACAGACGACGGCGCGCGTGTGTGGTGGACCGAAACCCACCTAGCTCCTCCCCCTCCACAAAATGTGTAGTGACCCAAGGGCCAATCTAGGAGAGTGAGGTGGAAGCTTATAAACTCTCCCACTTTCAACTAGTTGTCCAATGTGAGACTTGTTAAAACCCACACACCCCTTCAACTTCCCTTTTCTCTTTTCTTTATTAACCCACTTCTTATTCATAAGCAATATATCATTGTTCATTAATTCCAACAATCTTTTTGCCCAAGTTTTAGAATGGTAATTTTCCCTGTCCACGGCTGATGGAACTAGGCTAGATTGGATATGGGTGCAAGCATTACAGGACAAGATGGTTAAAAAACTCGGTCAATATGCATGATCAAAATAACAAGTAAAAGTAAACTCAATCAAATTCAATCTTTTGTTAGAAATATTAAGAATTAATTATAATATTAAAAAGATTTTATTATAATTATAATATTAAGATTCTTGATATTACTCATTAAACGTTATATGACCCAATTAATTACTGATACACTTAATCTTAATCATTGATTTGATTTGGTATATGATGGATGTACCAGATTATAAGTTATGGAATATATATATATATATATATATATATATATATATATATATATATATGTATATATTAGGGATAGTCCTCTCTATCCTTCAACCCAAATGTCATTCTCTCCATCAGAATACATATCAAAGTAAAGAAGGCTTAGAGAGAGAAACTACGCTGACACAATTGCTCACAAGATGATGACTGCTGTTAACACTTCATCATCATTTTCGGGTATGTCTTTATCTTTTATGTGTATGTGAAAATCATGTATCCCCAATATCCTTTATTATGTTCTTATTTTATGATTTATAAATATGATATATTATGCAAACTAACATGTGGTATCAAAGCCTGATTAGGGAATTCATGTTTTTCCATGTATGGTTATAAATTAATGAGTAAATACCCTTTTTGGTCCTCAGCAAATTTCACGACGCCCGTTTTAGTCCCTAGCAAATAAAAAGGCCCATCGTGGTCCCTAAGAAATTCAAAATGGACCCATTTAGTTGAAATCATGGTCCCTCACAAATTCAAAAAAGACCCATATTAGTTCCTAAAAGAACTAAAATGGATCCATTTTGAATTTCTTAGGGACCACGATGAGCCTTTTTATTTGCTAGGGACTAAAGCGGGTATCGTAAAATTTGCTGAGGATCAAAAATGGTATTTACTCTAAATTAATTCTTAATTCTTGGAAATTAGGATTTCTAAATTTATGTTTTTCTCTACTGATTTTTATAATTCGATGAATTCATGTTTCGGTTTTTGCCAATTATCGTTTGCGGATCCAAATCTGATTCAACTTTGCAATTCATAAAAGGACAAAAGTGTGCCTAATATTTATTATGCCTATTACTATGCAAAACGAAGGCTACTGTACGAAGGATTACTTGAAAATTTTAAATTGAGAATGATTGCATTCTGACTTGATTTTTTTATATATAAGAAGACCGATTCAACTTTATACGCGGCGACCATCTATGAAGTATCGACACTTCAAAAATCCTGACGTGTCGTGTTCGACACTTTTCGATACTCTCCGACACTCCAACACTCCCACACTTCCGACACTCTAATACGCATTGTAGAGACTCAAAAAAAAGTTCAAAGGTTGTGTTGCGTTGCTTTTTTAGTTCCAACTATTAGATTTGTTGGATTACGATTATCATTTTATTGAGTTTAATATCAATATTTGAGATATCTTATGTTTCTTTACAAAATTAATGGATATTATAAGTTTAACTTCATTTTTTGTTAAATTATTGAGTATTAAATAAAATATACATTACATAAATTAAAAATAATACTTAATATCAAAACGTGTCCTAACGTGTCGAAATTTAACATTTTTTATAATTAACGTGTCAGAGTGTCATGTTGTATCGTGTCTCGTGTCTCGTATCGGTATCGGTGCTACATAGGCGACCATTATATGCATTGATTCTCGTGACCATCATATTCTTTATTTGAATGATTACAATATTCTTGAATATTTGGATTTAAAATTGTTACCGTGTGTTTTCGATTTGCATATTCTATTGAATCCCTTTATAATTTTGACGTTGTTAAAGTTTTTTTTTTTTTTTTTTATTGGTTTGAAAATTGCATATTTTCAAAGCCATTTGTATTGCTTCCCCGATAATTGCACCAATTGGTTAACTCATCGCTTTCAATATCTGTTTCATAAATTTGAAATACTGTCTGAATTTTTAATTATATATTATGGGATATTAATTCTGGAATAGATTATGATTGCATACGTGAATACGTTGATAAGTTTATGAAAAATATGCATGGTTTATGTTATGAAAAATGCGGTATGTATAAGGGCATAATTTTCGCTGTTGCTGAATTTTATTTTATTTTATTTTATTTTTTATTTTATTTTTATATGGGCATTAGTACGAAGATTTGCATCATTCATGTTTAAAAAATAAAATAAAATAAAATAAAAGTTGCAATATGTATATTAGAAGTATGGATTGTATTGTCTTATATATACTTAATGTTAATTTTTATTGATGCAAATATTATGATAATGCTATTAGATTGATCTGTTAAGTTATTTTCACACATTATGTCATGGTTTGTTAGTCACCAAAGTGGCCAAACTAAAAGTGTGTAGATAACATAAAAATCATTTATTTGTGTGCATTATGGTTATAGTTTGTTAGTCATCAAAGTGGCCAAACTAAAAGTGTTCTTATTTTATGATTTATGAACATGATATATTATGCGAACTAACATCTTTTGGTTTTCTACATTTACTTGAACGCAACATTTGAACGTAGGAAATTGGAGATAACATGCAAAACTTGAACGCAACAAGCTGAATAAAGTTTTCATGTGAATATTATTTCATATATCCTCATAGAAGAATTTCTCGAAAAGTTGCATACATTCTATCTGGAAGTGCATAAAAACAATAACAGAGCCATCCCCTTCTGGGCTTTGAACAATCCATACCCTGTCATCTGGAGCCAAGAATCCAACACCAAAATGCACGGCCCTTCCCCACCCAAAATCTGCTTCGTACACTGGCATGCTCATCCAGCTTACGATCAAAAGGTTAGGATTCCCAAAAAATGGGGCTATCATACGTTCTCCTTGTCCCAAGAAGAAACCCCTTAAGAAATTTAGTTTCTCCTGATCGAAAATAACATCTAGTTGTGACCTTATGTACTCATTTGTAAGCAAGTCAAGTGATTCCCTTATCTTTTTAGCAGCATAACTCAATGGGCTTGATATGATTTCTCCAACATAACATGTTGTTGTCACTGTTCGTGTCAAACCATTCCCAAAGTAATTTCGAGGCAGAGGTGGATTCAGTCTAGTGCGAATATCAGCAATGGTCCGAACCAGAGTTGGTTGATTCTCATCAAGTTCACGAGCTTTCGATGCACATCTCCATATATGTGCAGCAACAGCCTCATATCTGCTATATGGTTTTGTCCCATCTTTCAGGGATTGATCATTGGCCTTCTTCTTCAGCTTCTCAACTTCCTCTGATGTGAGTTTCAATGATGAAGCTGTTGTCTTCTTCTTTTGCTCATTAATGAAGTCAGAGGTTCCTAGTATGAGTGGCTGAGGCTTCAACTCAGGGTGATCAAAGCGTTGTGCTAATGTGGGGTGTGGGAATTTGAGTACTGTTCGTTCTAGAAATGGCATATCATGTGGTGCTAATGTATCTCCACGAGCCAGCTTTGCCCATGAGTTTATGAATTGAATAGCAGCAACCCCATCACACAAAATATGAGAGATAGCAACACCAATGGCAAGGCTTTGGTCACCATGGAATGTTGTGAGTTGCACAAGCAGCAACGGAAGCTCCTCAATAGGTTGAGTATAATCAACGGTTGGAATAAGGTCCTTGATGGGGTAAGTGGGTGAAAAGTCTCCATATTCATTCAATGTTTTAGTGGTTTCAGCTTCAAGCAATATAACTCCCTTTGCATTACAATCCAATTCCAATCTACCACATTCTTCAGTCCAACTCAATCTGCCAGCTACTGGATAGTAATGCATTAAAATCTGGCTGAGAGAGGTTCTCATCCTCTCAATGACTTCGTGGTTGTGTTTTGCTTTGTAAACGTAGATAGTGGCTGTATGACTGGGACTCCCTACATGGTCATTATCACATAGCCACAAACGACCGTTGGGAGTTGAATGATTTGGAATGATAGTGTAAGAAGCTGTAATGGTCACCATTTTTTGTGGTTATAGGCTAGGCTTGAATCTCGAAGTTTTATATGCTTCATAGCTTTGCTATACGTCTTGCAATATATACAGGAGAGTATTTCACGGAATGATATTAAATGATCTTACATTTTAAAGTAAATAAATAAGGGGAAGGATATTGTGACAACCAAGTTGTGTTACTATCAAGTGACTCTCAATCAATCTCATCGTTAGATTGATTATGTTGATCCAACGGTTATATTTATTTTCATCTTTGTGTGGTCATGATTTTCCATATTTAAAGTGAAAGCATTAAATATGGAAAATCATAACCATACAAAAGTAGAAATAAATATAAAGTATTAAATTTGGAGAATCATGACCATACAAAGATGAAAATAAATATAACCGTTGGATCAATATAATCGATCTAACGTTAAGATTGATTGGTAGTCATTTAGTAGTAACATAATTTGATTGTCACAATATCCTTTTCCAATAAATAATAAATAAACTATTACACGCCCATAATGATATTAAATGACCTTATTCTCAACTTCCTCTTACATTCCACCTGAAGCACTGGGAAATATTTAATGTGTATGCACAAAAAAATCAATGAGCCAAATCAATAGAATGCTTCCATTTTCTAAAAAGTTAGTACAGAAGAGAGAGATAATAAGACTTTTGATCCAAGTGTCATTAATTAAGTGGAAGACCCATGTGATCCGGGTCCACAGAAAACGTCCTCGAAGCACTGACCATTACACGCCCAGCTCTAATTTTATAAATATGATATATACTATAATCAGGTTCACGAGACACACGGACCATCACACACGCAAAAACACAATGACTGACGTAGGATTGATACTTCATACATCAAATACAATATTAATTTGATATATTAAGTTTAGAAATTTGAGCTTTTGTAAAGAAATATATTATATATTATAATTTATTTATTTATATTAAACTGAAATAGATTTTTTATATATTCAAAAGTTTAAGTGGAGTTAGACACCGGTATCTCACTGACCACTAGGGTTAGGGATATAGAACCAAATGCAGTCAAATGAAGAATCTAAAGAGACAAGGATTTAACCCCAAGGTGTAGCTCAGTTGGTAAGCAGATTGCAGCTCAAGGGTCGGGTTCTGGTGGCTGATGAAGTCATGGGTTCGATTCCTACGAAAAGCACTTTGGGACCAGTGGTGAAAACCTTCTCGCTTTAAGCCGCGAAAGGATTAGTCTCATCCTACGGGTGAGGACACCCTGAGTTTACTCAAAAAAAAAAAAAAAGATACAAGGATTTTACCCACCGTGTAATGAGCTTGACAATGATGCTACTACTGAATATTATTGTTGTTAAGTACTCTTCGTTGCTAATATACAGTCATTGCTGGGGACAACAAACTTCTAAATCTGGGAATAAGGAGCACCACCATATATAGTAGCAGTTCATGACCTTGTTGAGCACCTGATGCAACTTTTTTTTGTTTAAAATGAAGTTTCTGTCAACCTTTCTTTGCATTTCAATTTTTCTTTCTTCCCCTGTGATTGATTTGTTGTTAAGAGTTAGGATTGTGCAAAAATGAAGAGTTGAAAAAGGAATTAGTTAGTGATTTTGGTCCTTAGTGCGATGACTTGCATACTTGTTTTGTTTTTGATTAATGAGCCCTGATTGAGTATGTCTAAGAGTCAGTAGCAATATTAGAATTACAACTTTGAGTGATTGAGAGAGAGCATAGTTAGCTGAATCATGCACCATTCCTATGAGATTTTGTGCCTAAACAAATTTTTTTTCTTTTTGGTGTGCGCTTCACTGTTGAAAATGCTCTAGAACATGTTTTGCTTCTCTTTGAGATGGTTGATTGCATGCAATGTTGATATGATTGAGGAACTTTTTCTTGTTTTAGTTACTTAGCCAAAAATTCAATCATTATGATACCCTTTATTTACGCAGTTGAGTCTAGACTTATTTCTTTTTGAATGACCTAATATTTTAATTAGCCACTCCACAAACACATCTACCTTAGATAGGATTGAATTGCATAATTTTTATGGCAGGGTGTAAACATGAGCATTATGCCTTTTGATGCTTAGAGGTGAAAAAAGAGGTTATGAGAGTTGAAAAAAATAAAGGTAGAAAATGGTAATATATATATATATATATATATATATATATATATATATATATATATATATAGAAAGAGAAAAAATAATAGAAAAAGAAAAATTAAAAATAAAAAGTAAGGGGGTTGAAAAATAAAAATGCTCAAAAAGAATTGTAAGTTAAATGTGTTTACACTTTACCATGATCCTTATGAGTTTCAATGATTTAGCCATTTATCTCCTTATTTATCCTTCCCTTAGCCAAGCCCTATTACAACCTGAGTAAAGATCTCTTGATTTTCTGTGCATATTACTTAACTATGGAGAGTAAGAATATAACCAAGTCTATGGTAGTATTTATTAAGTGAAGGTTTGAGCGATGAGTGATTTGATAATTCCAGTGAGGGGTGTGTGTTAGATTCGATTTTCCATGCTTGATTGATAGATCTATTGCTATAATTTTATGACCTGCTTACTTCTAGAAACTACTTGATTGGATGCCTGTTCTCATAGCCTTGTTATTTTTTTGTTGAGTCTAATCACTGATGGATGGAACCACCGTCTGATTCTTGTATTGATGATTCATTGAGCACAATTTTCACACTTTTGTATTTTTTTCCTATGTTCTTAAATTAGTCCATTGCTGGGGACAACAATGAGTAAATCTGGGAATAATTTGATAACGACAAAACACGCTATATTTCTAAGACCAAAAGTTTGCTAAATAATGATAAATATGGTCAAAAGACATTGTTAAATAAAAAAAACTTTAGAGTTTTCATTATTGGGCACATTTTTGACTTAAAAATATATGTTTCAGGTCTAAATTATTTCTAGTCAAATTTTAGTATCCAAGATGATGGATTTAGATCTCGTTGTTCTTCACAGAAGTTGTAGATATCTTTTTTATCTTTTCAACGAGACCAAGAGCACATTAATTGGACACGTAGAGCCCAAGTTATGACCAGAATACGAAAGACACATGAAACTCACTAAAAAGAACTCACTATAGCGAGCAGCACCTAATTTTCAGCGAGCAGCTCGAAAAAAAAGCCCATGGACCTTTATTTAAAAGACAGAACAAAAAGAGAGCAAAAAGGGTTCGACTTTTGGATGATTTGGGAGAAAGAAAGAAGAATTGAAGGCTGATACTGCGAAGGAAGAGTTAGAGCTTCGTCGTGGGGATCAATCACTAAGTTTTTCTTATGGATTCTTGTTTCCTTTCATCTTTAGTTTTTGTTTCTTGCATTATGCTAGGCTAGTTTCCTTTTTGTAGTCTTGGGCTAGATGGATCTAGATGTAAATCTATTACTTGAGTGTTAATTTCTGAATGCATATTTTCTTCCTTTGTTTGAATGAATTTTCTTCTTAATGCTTTTTATGGGTTTGCTCCCCATAGATTGATTTAGGAATTATCTATGGCAATAGACATGTTGGTAGATGAAACCAGAAAGGTTAATTCACCATAACGTTGTTTGACCTAGACATAGGCTAATAACTTATGCGATCATTGGGTTCTGATTCTTAATACATATTTCAATTATAGTTTGACTAAGACATCAGAAATCTTAAGGGGAATACAGGGGTAGGATACATCGAGACATTGGGGCCTAATCAAACTTAGAGAACTGATCGTCATCATTAGTATAACATCTCCATCTCGATCCAGTTCAATTAACATACCTATGCTACTAAAACATGCATCAGCGGAAGACTTAACTTATAATCTTGCATTAGCTTATGAAAATACAAGCTAACTTTTTCCTCTGCTTTATTTTATTTCGCATGATATATATCATTACGTCCCTTCTTTCTTATTAATCAAAATTCTTTTTCTAAGCATTAATCTTTTCTCAGAGACCATATGCAATGGCCCTTGACCATCCAAATATGACAACAAGTATCAATCTAGACGAAGTTTAAAATCGGACAGCGTAACGACTTAAAACCAAACAAATAGGAAATTAAATCCCTTTAATATAATCCATACCTGATAAACATATTATCTTAGACATATCATATAATCATATATTGTCCAACGATGGACCTAATACCCATCTATAGGCGCATGCATAATTGGCTCTGTGCCACTATGTGTAACAGCCTACATAACTCAACACATGCATATTCATGAATACTACATCATCATATAACATGCATGTATACACAAATATACATGCATCAAAGCAGAAGATATGTACAAAACATATACAAACCATATGCAGTATAATGGATCAGACATCATGATCCCAAAATGAATAGAACATGAATAAGCAATAAATACCCATCCTCCAAAATAATGGCAACATAATGCTACCCAATGATCATGTCTCTAAACAGTGGTGACAAAACATCCAAAATACACATTTCCACTATAACACCTCTAGCCACACGTCCTATCCTTGCCCTGTGAGGGCTCACTGGCTATCTGCACACCTGAAATGATGTCCCCAAACGGGGTGAGATAAAGAATCTCAGTACGCTCCAGATTTAAAGAGTAACCTCCATACCTTGGGCTCACTCCTGCATGAAAGTCAAATATAGCGTATACAAGGCATCATATAAACAAATATAATAACACAACTAAGCATATTAACATATCATATCAAAGATATATACAGTCATTCCCAAGGGAGAACCCCAAGCAAAAATCAAGGCACGTGTTCCCAAGGGTAAACCCCAAGCAAAACTCAACACATAATAGAGGTGTACACAGTCGATCCCTAGGGAGGATCCCAAGCGAAATTCAGTGTGCATAAATTCATTGGTCAAGAATCATCATAGTAATCATATTAGAACAAAACATATCATATTATCATATAACTGTATATGAATGCATCTATACCAAGTATCAGAAGAAAATCATACAATACCAACCATAGTTCACTAAACATGGTGGAGCACATAGACATGATAT